AACAGATTTTCTACTAAAAGCGTAAAAAATGTATGCATCGAGGAGCAGTCAGTACCTTGAGTACAGTTCGGTCCAGGGAATTAGAGGATTGTCGATGTCGCGTGTGCTCTCCCAGGGATTCTCGAGTGTGCTGTCTTTGGGCCGCCGATGGTATTCCACAAGGCCGCAAATGATGGGCAGCAAGAAGCCGAAGCCGAGAGCAAAGGAATTGCTTATGAGTATAATGATGGTGTTGGCTGGTAGAAGGCAGCAAATGCAGCAACATAAAAAATGGAATGAGTACTCATTATTCTCTTTTCTGCATATGCTAATTAGGGCACTACTAGAAATAATGTCACACTGATCTACCCCATGGCAACCGTCGATTGGTGCTCCTCTTCAATTTTGTATAGTTTTATCCTTTTCTTGTGTTGGTTAAAACTGACAAAGCTTAAATCTATTCGTACAAGAAGGCCAAATTAGCAGTGAATGACTTTTCTGTATATGCAGCAACAACACAACGTTAGACAAAATTGACCAACGGTGATACAAGATGTTTTCATTAGTTGCTTTTCAAGTCACTTTCTACATTCAAGAGTGCATATGTGCATGAATATGAATGATCCAGAATACACGCATGATCGAGTTCGACTCGTTCTTGCCGGAGTCGCGGATGAGTGAATTTCATAGTCGTCTAAACGACTGCGCAGCAGCAAGAAACCGCCGTCGATCTTCGAGTCTCTCAACCAGTATGCTTAAAAGGAATGAATGCAATCACAGCAATGCTTTCACATGGCATTATGTGAAACCTACCTAGAAGTGGTCAATTGCTGGAGGAGTTGTACGCAGAACTTTTAGAAATGCAGATAGCAGAAACGCTGTATCATCGCGAGAGCATCGTTTTTTCTGCATGAGAATACGTAAAACTGAACGCAACTGGAGATATGCACGTAAATAAGATATTTTCTGGCTTAAATTTTATATTTAAGTTAGTTTATTTATATTCTGAAATGAACTTAGATGTGGAATTCTACGTCTTGGAGAGGAGTTTTCTGTGAAAGACTAATGCATAAAGAAATAACAGGTCCCTTACAATCGACCTGGGTGAGGGTTTCAGGGAAATTTTTGACATTTGTCTCGTATAATCTTAACATACACACACGCACACACACACATATATATATACATATATATAAACATAATAAGAATGATTCATCAGCACTACCAAGAAACGTTTCAGTGGCCTGATTTTGAAGTGCATCCATGGTGATCCATGTCGTAAAGCTGGTGATAAGACTGGTCCAGAAACCGACAAGTACACCGAGTTTGGTGAGTCGGGACCAAATTGCGAGTAGAAACAATGAACCGACCATGGAAGCGGATGCGATTTCCGCGGCCGAGTCCAGCAGAGTGTGATTGAGCTGTCATTATTATGAGACAAGATAAGGCAAAATGAACACAACTTCATTCTTGGTTCGTGATAAATTGGAGTCCCAAATGGCAATAAATGCATAGACACGGATAGGAAAACTTATGGTATCAGGGTCATAACAATCAAAAGGAAAAGAATGAATGAATTTACTTCATCATGCCATTAAAGTGCCCTTATATCAACCATCCAAGCGGCCTTGTTATTCGGCTTGAATCACTTTTGGATGTTGATGAGACGATGAGGCGAGGTAATTATAGCGAGCTTTCTGGCATGCCAAGCAAAGAAAGAAGAAGGTCCGCTTTCCGAAAATATTTATTGCGAATATGTTACTTAAAGAAGAACTTAGTCATTCATATCGTCATTGAAAAGTCGCTATTAGCAATTGATTTACCATCTTAAGTGGCCCAGTATGGTAATTTTTATTCAAAATTAGTGATAATTTTCAGGCCTACTCACTGATTATGAGTAGTATCGTTGATTTTGGTGGCATCCACTATGAAGGTGA